GGGGCTGTATAAAGAAGGGCTGCTGGAGGGAGAGACCTGGCGCCCTGGAAGTAGAGCAGGGCTGGGGAAGCTCTGGCCAAGCAAGCGCCCAGGCTGCAGGGCCTGAAGCAAGGCCTGAGGCTACTGGGCCTGCAAGGGGATACCCCCAACACCCTCCCGGCCAGCCCTGCTTCCCGCCAGCCAGTTCCCCCCCTGTCTCCTAGCCAGCCTCGCTCCCCTTGGCCCCCTCCTGGCCAGCCCCGCTCCTCTCCCAGCTAGTCCTCCCCACCCCCGATCTGAGCTCAAGAGCGTCTGGTATTTTTTTCAAACCATCTGGTAACCCTAGGTAGCCTTGGTAGGCAGGGGCAGCAGGTCCACCCCCCCTTTGCCAGTGATAGTGGCTATTACAGACAGCAGTTTGCCCCTGAGGCAGGGGCTAGATGAAAGCTGTCAGTAGGTCACTGAGGCAAGATAGGTCCAGGGGAACTGGGTGTTCCCTGGGAGGAGAACCGGGTGCCCCGGGGAGGGGAGGACCTTGGAGTGCAAGCAGGATAAACACCCACCCCCAGAAGGGGGGCTCAGACACTGTAGTGAGCTCAGCCGGAGGGCCATGTCCTGAAGGGGACGCCGTGGTCAAAGGAGCCCAGGGAGACACCAGCTAGAGGGAGAAGCCCAGCGAGTCAACAAGCTAATTCCCAGAGCAACCGGCTGGAGGCGCCACGGTGGTGAGTCTGCCCCGTGACACCTTCCTTAGTTGTCTCTCTTCCAAGCTGAAAAGTCCCACTGGTTAATCTCTCCTCCTATGGCAGCAGCTCCGAGACCCTCATCATTTTGTTGCCCAGCTCTGAACCGTTTCCAATTCCAACACATCTTTCTGAGACCAGGCAATCACATTTGCACACACATTCCAGATGTGGGCGTGCCATGGTTTATACAGCGGCAGTGAGATATCCTCCGTCTTATTCTCTTCCCTTTGTTAATGATTCCTAACATCCTGTTTGCTTTTTTAACTGCCACTGCACAGAGTGGATGTTTTCAGAGAATTACCCACAATGAGTCCAAGATCTCTCTCTCTCTCTCTCTCTCTCTCATGGTAACAGTTAATTTGGACCCCATGATTTTATATGCATAATTAGGATTATTTTTTCCAATGTGCATTACTTTGCATTTATCAACATTGAATTTCATCTGCAATTTTATTGCCCTGTTTGGTGAGATTCTTTTGAAGCTCTTCACTATCTGCTTTTGTCTGACCTATCTTGAGCTGTTTTGTATCATCTACCAATTTTGCCACATCACTGTTTCCCCCTCTCTCCAGATCATTTATGACCATGTTCAATAGGGTTGGTCCCAGGACAGTCCCTTTGGGGTCACCAGTAGTTAACTCTATTCTAAAAAGTGCCTTTTTATTCCTACCTTTTCCTGTGCTCTGGCTCTTCCTGGCTTGGCTCTGCTTGCTCCCGTTCCTCCCTCTGCTAGCACACTTCCCCCACTGCAGTCCCTACCCCCACAACTCCCAGTGGCTGGGACTTCCCAGGACCTGTGCCATAAAAGGTGAGCTACCCTAGCTATTGCTCGTCCCCAGCCCTGAGTCCCCGCCTGCACCCTAACTCTCACCCAGACCCTGCACCACCAGCTTAGAGCCCCCTTATGCACCCTAACTCCTTCCCACTCCCCACACCTCAACTGCTGCCCCAATCCTGAACCCCCTCCTGCATCCTAACTCCTGCCCAGACCCAGCACGCCCTCCTCCGCTTTCTGCCCTGAGCCCTGTTGTGCACCCAACCCACTGCTTCAACCCACAGCCGTCTCCCACACTCTGGTTCTGTTACTTTTAGCCCCACCCCGGAGCCTAGGGAGGCCCACAAAATCTACTAGCCCCGGGTCCCCGGAAGGGTGAATCCAGCCGTGCCTAAGGATATGTCCATACTGCGCAGCTTTTGATGACCCCCCCCCAGAGCCTATAGGGAGCCTCAAAATCTACTAGCCCCGGGTCCCCGGAAGGGTGAATCCAGCCGTGCCTAAGGATATGTCCATACTGCGCAGCTTTTGATGACAGAGCTATGGCGACAAAAGTCAGCGTGTGGACATTGGCACTTCTGTCAACACACTACTTCCACCCCCAGCGAGGGGTTTGCACTTTGTCGCCAGCAGAGCGCGCCTGCCGACACAGCAGGGTTCACACTTGTCCCAGCTTTCAACTTTCTCGTTCGAGTTGGGGGAGAGGTTAAGATTCCGTCAATGACACGAGTTTTGTTGATCTAGTGCCAGTGACGACATGCCCAGGGTGTAGCAGTGTTTGTTGTACTGGCGTGATTAGTGCCCGTGAGTAGCTCCTGGGGTGGCAGGAAAATCCAAGGAGAGCTGCATGTGTCTGGGAAGCAAGAGGCAACCTCGCTGCAGGCTATCTCCCCCCGGCCTGACGGGTAGGAAGTGGTGCTATGGCTCTAGACTCTCGGGCACTATGTCCCTGCACTATAGGGAAGGCAGTCTGACTGCCAAGTTCATTTGGGCCTCCTGGTTTTCAAGGAGTGGGCACTTTTCTTCCAGCCAGCTGGAAAGTATTTAGCCTCTAAGACTTCCAGAGAGAACCCATTAACACAAAGCCTGTCCTCTGGTATCACAGCCACAATGGTCTTCCTGGACTTCTCTGGTCCACCTGTTCTCCCCTTGGGGCTGGGGGTAAGTCCTCCGCCCCTCAAGGCAATAGCTCAGTAGTTCTCATAGCCCTTCCAGGAGTTAGTCCCTTCAGAGAGCCTTTCAAGTTCTTCCCATTACGCCCTCCTTCTTCTGACCTTATTATCGCCTCCCTACCTGTCTCCACCCTCTCCTGAGAGTCTGCAATCGGTGCAAACAGCTAGGCCAGGGCTGCTCTGTCCATCTCAGGCAGCACAGAGACTGCACGCTCACCTCCTCGGAGGGCAGATATCGGTACATGAAGCAGGAGTCTACTTCCCTGCCAGCCCCAGGATGTAGCCTCTCATGGATGTCTGGAGCCTGACACAGCCAGGAGTAGCTGCACTCCCCCCCGCCACATGTCTAAGTGCTGTGCTCGTCAACAGCACGCTCAGCCCTTCGCACCTCCCCATCTGTAACCCAGACATGTGACTGACGACTGACATGAGACACTTGTATCTGTTGCTGCTTCATATCATGATTTATTGATTATCCCAGTTTTCCTCTTAGAGTGTGTCTAGACTACATGGCTTGTGTTGACGGAGCCATGTGAACTAGTTTACCCGACATAGTCAATGAAGCGGGGATTTAAATAATCCCCGCTTCATTAAAATAAAAATGGCCGGCGCGCCGGGGCGGC